TCATCACCAAATCAGTCCATCGCTCCCCAAAGCCAAGTTTGTTCAGCATAGCACGCAAAAAGTCCCATTCAACTCGATCATACCCTTTACTCATGTCCGCTTTAACCGCAGCAACTCCTTCATTGCCATGTTTCTTGTTGAGCACGAGGTGTGAGAGCTCGTATGCAATAAGGACATTATCCGTGATTAGCCTCCCTGGCACGAACGCGCTTTGATTATCCGAGATGATCTCAGGCAGAATCAACTTTAACCGGTTGGCCAACACCTTGGACACCAACTTGTAGACCACATTGCATAAACTGATTGGCCGCAAGTCTTTGATTCTGTTCGGGTTCTTTACTTTAGGAATAAGAACAACTACTGTATCATTCCACCCTTCCGGCATTGCACCCCCATTTAGAACCGCCAAGACCTCCTCAATCACCTTATCTCCCATAAAATGCCAATGCCTCTTGTACACGATGGAGGGCATGCCATCGGGACCCGGCGCCTTGAGGTCTCCGATATGATCAAGAGCTGCCTTGATCTCCTCCTTGGAGTATTCAGCCTCAAGGATGGTCCGCATGGCTGGGGTTACCCGAGTCTGCACTTTGTCAATGAGTTCCGGCAGCCGGTCACCATGCGCCGATGTGAAAAGTTCCTGAAAAAACGAGCAAACGTAGTTATTGAGCTCCTCTCCCTTCTTCACCTCCGAACCATCCTCCTTCTTCAACACTCTAACTCTGTTTGCCCTCTTCTTAGCAGACGCCACAGCTATGAAATATTTTGTACTCCTGTTACCCTTCTTCAACCATGTGACATGGGACCGTTGTTTGGCTTTGGTATTCCTCCTCTCCTCTATCTTCTCCACCCTGCACCGAAGCTTCGCCTCCTCTCTAATTTTCTCTTCACTCACCGGAGAGCGCATGCACCTTTCAAGCTCACGGCGTGCTTGTTTTAGTTTCTCCTCCAAGTCACCTGCCACCTCCTTTCCCCACTTAGACATACGCCCCGCCACCAACTTCAACGCTGTGGTAACATCACCCCTTCCTTCTAAGCATCCTTCTTCCCAAGCCCCTTGTACCTCCTCACTACACCCCTCCTCCTGGAGCCACCATGCTTCAAAAAGGAACCCATGATCTCCGCCCCTCTCTCTTCTGTTTTCTCCATGGGTGCAAACGACAATGGGCCGGTGATCCGAGTGGCGAGGAGCACCATTGATAACGCTGAAGTTGCGGAACCAGTCACACCAGGAAGCGTTCGCCGTGGCCCTATCAAGGCGCTCACAAATGTACGTGCTCAAATCCTTACTATGATTTCGCCAGGTGTATTTATCACCCTCATACCCAAGATCACTGAGCTCACAAGATTCAAGAGCCTCTCTGAAGTTATCCAGCAGCCTTTGGGGTCGAACCGCTCCCCCTAACTTCTCATCCAAAGACAAGATCTCATTGAAGTCTCCTAGACACAGCCACGAACGACCCCCTTGGTGTTGTTGGCCCAGAACACGTAGGGTTTTCCATGTTTGCACCTTCCGATCCGCTGCTGACTCTCCATATACCCCCGTAAGCCGCCAGACTCTACCATCCACCTCCTTCACGTCCACATCCACATGCCTTCTTCCGAATGATCGAAGCATAATATCCACCTCGCGTTTCCAGAACAACAACACCCCCCTGCTACGACCTTCAGCACTCCATGCTGCTATATGAGGCATACCCAACATCCACCGAAACCTTTCCACCTCCTTCTCCAACAGTTTTGTCTCCGCCAGAAACAGTACATCGGGCACCTCCATCCTCCCCATCTCGAGGAGACTACGAACTGCCGGGCCATTCCCGAGTCCCCGGCAATTCCATCCGATAATTTTCATTGTGTTCGGCGGGGCTGCTCCTGCAACCCGGCCGATATAGCATTGATAGGCGAAACTGTCCCTGCATCCGTCTCCTCTCCCACCGCCTGCACCCCTCCCTCCTCTCGAACTCTCTTCCCCCCTTGCTCATCCTCCTCCTCCATCCTACCCCTCTTCGAGCCCAGAACCATCACATCCTCCTGCCTGTCTCGCCCCTCCGGCCGATAGCGCCCCTTCTTATAATACCGTTTACCAGAGTGACTCTTAGGCACTTCTGAATTCTTCTGATGTTGGGCCAACTGAATGTTTTCTGCTCCTCCGTCTGCTTCCCTTCCACCTTCCCATCTACATCCATGACTGTCTCCTTCCCACTCTGACCCTGGGATGCATTGGAGGCATCTAGCTTCCCGTGATCAGTGGGGTTTTCCTTGGACCCCCCAAGCAGCAACTTCTTAGGGTTCCCTGCCCTGCTCGATGGCAGTGCCAACTTGCTCGGGCTCGTCACCTCTTCTCCTCCTTCCGTTCCCCCCTTGCCCCCATTGCCTGATTTCGAGTCAGCTTTTCTCCATGAAAGGCCGTCACTCCCACTCCCCGACCGGCCCCCTGAACGACTATGCCCATAGCTTCGGACTCCACCTGAACCTCGTCCCCCCGCTCTCCACACCCCTTCCTCTGCCCTCCCCCTCCTCTGCCCAAGATCAGCCTTGAGCCATCTGCCGAATTGTTGCTTCTCACCCTTACTGATTTTAATCAAACAGTCCTTGTCCCCGTGTCCGATCATACCGCATGTGTAGCAGAAATCCGGTAAGAACTCATACTCAAACCTACACCAATCTGCCTCTTCCTCATCTTCGGAGCCGATCTGCTTCCCTCCTTTGCCGCGTCTGCTCTCCTTCTGATCCACACCGTCATCCAGGGTGAAGCCCCTCATGATTGGTTTATCAATCCGCATCCGCACCTTGACTCTGAGGAATCTTCCAATTGCACTTCCATCCGCTCCTGTGTCTGCCTCCATAAATCTGCCAATTATGTTGCCAATGTCCTCCGCCGAATCCTCATTCATCATGCCCAAGGGGGGGGTCAAAAACCCTAACCCAAATCGGGATATCATTGAAGGCGTAGTCTTCGGGCCGATTGCTGGGCACATATTCCTCCACCACCACCAAATCCTTGTCGAACATCCATGGTCCATCCTCCACAGCTTTCCGCTTCCCCGATTCCTGGTGCAACGTGAGAAGGAATTTGTTTACCCCTATCTCCGTACAGGTGATCCCCTTGATTGGGCACCATACCTTCCCCAGGGTGAGCGAGATCGCGTCTGGATGGGCCAACTTCTCGAACATGATCTTCCCCACCGCCTGGGCCGCCACCTCTTTGCCCTTCTCCTTTGCCGAACGCCGGATTTTCACCCCTTTCCTCTCCTCGTCCGAAAGCTTCAACCCCCGCAACAGCCCCGCCACACCCTCCATCACTTCCTTCAAACCCCCTGCCCCCTTCCTAGGGTGGATTGTGTCTTACGACCGCGCGCCCTAGGGAGCACGCAGAAGGCCTTTGGTGGATTGGAAACGGGATCGGGATCGCGAGGCGCTCGTACGTAGGAGATGCCAGAAGCCTGGCTACAGAAACCCTAGATCACGAGGACCTTGCGATCGCTTCCGCAATTGCCGGACCGAACGCGAACTGTCACCCAGCAGGGACGGACCTCCCTTGTATTATACATATTGGTCGTACTTAGAATTCTTCTAGTCATCCATTGGCACATTTTGGTATGTCTCAAGTCCGAACCGTTGTATGGCTTGGGTCGGGTCCGGAGGTTGTTTTGAACATGGTCAAACGTGATTGTAGCCCTTGATTGAGTAATACAAGAATTATATCACAAATAAGAACATTTCTACAAATTGGAAAATAATATTTTCCTAACTGAAAAGAAATTAATAAATTTACTATGTCATAAGGTGGGTACAAAGTTTGTTCCCACAGATTTGCATGAATTTTTTATGTAGGCAAAATCTCTCTAGATTTATGAGTCACAACGGTCATAACAAGACTATTGAATGAATGAAAAAAAATACTCCGTAGCAATATTTTGGGAAGTGGGCTCCGTACATATCATAGAGGATATGATAATGCTCGCAAAAAAGATCTTATATTATGGGACAGAGGGAGTAGTAAATAATTATATGACATATCTTGCAATTTTTATGGATGCTAAAAAATTATAATTACTATTTTTTTATTATAATCAACTGAAAATGTAAGCTATTTTGGCTAAATTAGGTGCTAAACATATTTTTGACCTAATATACATCATAATCAAATAACAATGTCAAATCACTATTTAAACATCATCTTGAACACACTAGGGCATCTCAGATTTTCATCGCTAGCTCAGTGGCGGAGCTAGACAGGAAATGCTGCAGGGGCGAAAGGCAAATACAACATCTTGAGGGGGCCAAACACTATATTTTTTCTAATTATGCACTTTTAAATATTTTTCTTCAGAGATTTTGTCAAGGTTGGAGGGGCCATGGCCCCTGTAGAAGTACATGTAGCTCCGCCAGTGCGCTAGCTTGCTATAGGCTCACGGAGCTTTCTAAACGGAATTTTTGGTGTTCTCAACCTCTACCAGCTCTGCTTCTTACCTTCCACAAGCTCCATCTACTCAAACAATCATATATGTACACTTTAGGCCAACTCTACTAATTTTTGGAGTATTTTTCATTCAGCCACAACCCAAACAAACATGGCCTAAAGTGTACATATATGTATAATTTGTCTATTGAAATTAATAGAAGTGTTTGGTGATCGTATTTTGGGCAAGGCTTGGCAGCAAACACGAACAGTTGTTATTGTTTTTTCAAGGATACACCATGCATGGAGAGGTGTATCAGAATCAGTTGCTATTTTGAACATCATATTTGCATCGTGATTTCTTGAATACCAAATCCACAAGTACAAGTTGCTGAGAAAATACAATTGCCAATATGGAGCTCAACTTGTTCAAGTGTCTTACAAGCATGATGCACTAGCAGATGAGAAGTATTGTCGATTGTTTTTTTTTTCTCTTCATATATAACGAGCTAAAACCCAAAGATTGCACAAGAATAGTCCTCTCTTCCAGCTAAACAAAATGCAGCTAGCTCAAACCCAAAGATTGCACAAGAACACCTTACAGCAACGTATCATCATGATGATTTCGTCTCTCAAGGGGCAAGACTACGAAGCTCGTCCTCCTGTCATTTGCCGAGTTGGCAAGCCATCTTTCAATATTGCAGTTTATGTGATGGCGCATCTTCCCGTTACCATCGTCAATTTGCATTTCTTCAAGAACCATGGCATTTTGGGCAAAGAATTTGATCAACTTTACTCCAAAGTTATTATGGGTCTTCTCTAGCCTGAATTGCAAGCCTACGCGTCTTAAGCTAGTCTGCAAGCAGGGGAAAACACGCCCGCTTAACGCAGGGAGGTCGGATAAATGATCGTATGTATCACCATCGTCATCATCTTGTCCCACTGGCTCTGATCCGCGGTTCTCGAAAGCTTGGATCGACTTGTCCAGATCGTGCTGACATTTCCTCTCCATGGGGCACGTCCCGGGGTGATAATGCGCATCGACATAGCTCCACACCGTGGAAAGGTTGATCCGGAGGTCACGAAGCACGGGACAACACAAGAGCAGGTTCGCGATCGCCACTGCTGCGGTCTTTCCCTTGCGACCGTTCATTCCTTCTATCTCGAGGCACTCGAGGTTACAAAAGGAGCGCAGGAGCTTGGTCTGGCTCGCGGCGGCGACCACGGCGATGTCGTCAAGCGAGCTCACCCTCAGCTTCAGCTCCTTGGCATTGCTGAAGTTCCGAGCGAATCGCCAGAAGGTGACAAGGTCGCGGCGTCGGCGTGCATCCTCGTCGCTCCTACTGATAAATTCACGGATAATGTGTAGGTCTGCCCGTGCCAAATCCGTCGCCTGCGAAGTGAGAGAGACCTGCCGAAGAACTCCCTTGTAGGTGAAGCGCCGCAGCCTCGGCGCATCGATCTCCACAGCGGCGGTGCCGGACCAGAATGGTCCCTTGGTCAAGTCACATCTATCCAGCACGAGCGCGGTGGCTACGGGGCAGTGGACGCGGATGATGACATCTGTCGCGTTTGTTGGCGAAGCAGTTTTTCCCAGAACCACGACAGACTCGAGGTATATTGTGGCGAGCGCCGGCGCGGCGTGGATGACGGCCTGGAGCTGTTCATTCGTCATGTTGCAGAGGCTCAGCCGCAGCGACTCTAGCCGCGGGAACGTGACGCCGGCCGACGGCTCGAGGCCGCCGCAGCTGGTGATGTCCAGCACGCGGAGCGTCTCCGACGGCAGAGAGAGGAAGCTGAGCGCCTCGAAGTCTGTGTTCAGCCTCGTCCCCTGGAGGCGGGTCAAATGCATGAGGTGGCCGGAGTCTCCGCTGCTGATCCGCAGCTCCTCAACGTGGCGCGCCGCCGTGAGGGAGAGTAGGTCGGCGAGCACGTCGATGCGGCCACGATTATTGTCCTGGTACAGAAACCTCCAGTCGTGGCTGGCCTCGACGCAGAAGCTGAGCCTTTTGACGGGGCTGCCGGCCACGGCTTCAAGGGCCAACCTGGCTCCGGAGACGAAGGCATCGCGCCGGGAGAAGAAGCTGACGTCGTCCTCGCAGCTGCTCTCGGGAACGGGAACGCGGGCCTCGAGGTTCACGGCGCCTGAGGAGCACCAGAGCCCGCGCCACCGCTTCGATAGCGCGCTCGTGGACGCGGCCTCTTTGACGGGGGCGAAGTGGAGGATGCGCCGGAGGAGGTCGTCGGGGAGAAGGGAGAGGTGATCGCCGCCCCACATCGTCGACGCACCGGCGAGCTGCGAACCTGAGATCCGAAACGAACTCGATGCCACGGGAATTTGTAACCTGCGGCAGATCACGGGGAAGCATTATATCAACGTTGACTCCCAGAGTCGGTGAACTGAATTGGATTGGGCTGGGCTGTGCCTTAATTGGGCTTTAATTCCCGAGTCCGAGTTTCCTCTCTGTCACGGCTCGGCTTTGGTATTTTTCCTTCTGTCCCACGTCCCGCAAAACCGGACAGAGCGGCCCACGCCCTCGCCAATCAATGGCATCAATGACGTATCGATCCTGCATCAATCACGCATTGAACAGGAGGAGCTCGTCCTCGCCGGCCCTCCGTCCGCCATCCAAGCCATCTCCTTCCCCGCACAGAATCATATATAACCGCCGCATCGTACGTGCTTTTGGCTCCCGCCGCAGACGTCGCCCGGATCACGCCGTCTTCCTGGCCTCTTCTGCCGGATCGCGCCGTCTCCCGCTGTCGCCGTCTTCCACCATACTGAAGCGGCCGCCGCCAACAGGACGCCTCCACCCCGCCCCGCCCCGTCCCATCTTCCAGCACCCGGATCAGTGCATGCAGACGTACGAGCAACAGCTGATCAGGGCATGCAGACGTAGTGAGCTCGATCGGGACCTGATAAAGTGACAAGTGCATGCAGGCGTACTGAAACCTGGAGAAGCAAACCTCTGCTTGCAAGGTACTGTACGCTGCAGCAGCATTGGGATATACTAATATACTAGTAATACGCATCCAGCAAAGTACTACTGTATGATTTGTCCCAGATTAGTTCCATTTTAGTTTTAGTTATAAACCATTTAGTATAGTACGTGAAAGTCGGCCCTCTAGTTAGTACAGAAGTATTTTCTTTCTCTGCTGTAGTTTCCAAACGTTGGTGTTGCTGGCGTTTGGTTAATCCAATCCAGTCGCAATGGATTCTCTGCCAACCTTTTAAACTCCATTGCTTCACTTCTCTGCATGCCGCAGGTACTAACAATTGTAATCTAGCTGCATTTCATCACAAATTCAATGGCAGATCGCAGGCTGGGGCTGCCCAATCTGGCCCTGCAGCTGGTGGGGATCTTACCGGAGGTCCAGAGGCCTAGCAGCACGGTCCCTCACCGCCAGAAGCTGGCTTACACGGCCGTCTCCCTCCTCATCTACCTTGTCGGCAGCCAACTGCATGTGTATGGATATGGAGTCCGTTCTCCATCGGCTGCTGAATCTCAGTACTGGGTTGACATGCCCGACCTCAACTCCGTTATGTGTGACGGGATCATGCCCCTCGTTCTGTCCGAGATGTTGCTTCATTTGTTGCTGCGGTTGAAGGTTCTTAGGGTGAACAATCATGAGGACCGGACGCTCCTGTAAGTACTACTGATGATATAAGCCTTTGCTCCATTCAGTCACAAATTCAAAAGCTGACAATTTCTGTAAGCATGATACTGTAGACTTTAGTCTTCAGAGTTCTATTATGGGGGCCCTGTTGATGCTTTTCTGACGAGATGGAGTATTCAGTTATACCTTTCTCACATGCAGATTGATGTTCTGTTCACAATTTTTTTTCATATATAAGTCTAATGATTATATCAGTCATTTCTCAGGAATCGGGTGCAGAAGTTCCTTGGGGTAGTTTGTGCCGCTTATTTTTCAATATGCAGGGTGCTAATTTCAACTATCTTGGGCAAACTGACCATAGCGCAGTCAATTCTGATCGTGCTTCAGCATTTCTTTGGATGTGTCATCATCATTTATGTTGATGATCTCCTAAAAAAGGGATATGGGTTTCTTTCGAGTATCCCCTTGTTCAGTGCCACCGACATCTGGTAAGACCGAAATCCTACAACTATGCTCCATTCCTTTTCTGTAGGGCATTATGAAGTAAGAAGTCGACGTTTGATGCATGTTGAATGGACAAAAATTTTAATCAGTAAATGCATTTTACACGGTGCTTTAGTGGGTTACTGATTTCATAACAGTAAATAATATAGTGCAGTAGAAATTAACAGTTAAATGTATAGAAACTCCTGCAAATGAAACTTAGTGCTAAACAACGAGCAGAGGAAGTTCTCCAGAAGAAAGAAGTATCAATATTCTGTTTCGCTTCCTGTATCAAGCCCATCAACATAAATGCATTGTTTGGCAGTCCTTTGAAACACTAAAATTTCAGAAATTACAACCTTTGAATATGCAGTTGTTACAGTGACCCAAAACCTTTACTGCGGAAAACCCATGTTTCCCTCTGATATAGCTATTACACTTCATATTAGTAGTGGAAATTTATTAAGGTTATTAACAATTGTATGGACTGTTTGTCAGGTTATTAACAATTGTTTGGACTGTTTTCTAGTTAATTTTTCTAAAGAATATTCGGTGTGCAAAGATGCCCACAAAATTGCAGAGTTGCACTACTTGTTTATCATCATTCCTTGTTTGGATTAGCAATTTACATTAACAAAAAATCGAATCCATATCACAGTTTTTTGATTAGAATGGCATAATGATCTAATAATATAGGGGGTAAGATAAACAAAGTTCACTTGTTGATCACCCAAGTCAAGGTTAGTTGAACATTTGATGGTTTTGATTGAAATGAAAAAAAGGTATTTAAATGAAAGTTTGACTGATTGACTCTAGCACAATAACAGCTAGTCAGCTATGTTTAATTTTCCTTGTTGAAGGGTCTACAAATATTAGCACTAAATGCACCGGCGGACTATATGCTTTTGCTCTAAAATTGATTCAACTGGAAAACAATGCTTCATGGTAGTGGTTTAAACCTTAGGCATTGTGATTTAAACCTTGACGGGTGGAGTCATACTGTCACGACTCCATCGCTCCAGCAAGATCTGGTCTTGATACACAATTAAGTCAGTTAGCGTAAGCAATAATACATACATGTGCTGTAGTTATGCTAAAAAAAATTATTAACTCAATTTAACGGATCATATGTTTTCATTTGTACAGTGCAAGTATTTTCTGGAAAGCTTTTAGCCCCGGAGAAGGAGCTGTGACTTCCTCCATTATTAATGGAAACTACAAATTGTCTTCGATGCATAAAGTGTTGGGCAGTCTAGACCTTCCGGAGATGGCTAGTATGCTCACCACGTGCGCCTTCTTTCTATTCGTCCTCAGCCTGCAAGGCTTCCATGTCATGTTGCCAGTGAGATCCAGTGAGGAGGCTAGTATGCAAATGAACTATGCCATCAAGCTTTCCTACTTCTCCTTTGCACCCCTACTCTTCCATGATGCATTGGCCATATTCCTATACTTCATCTCAGAGGTACCAGCCACATCACTATAGAATACTCTCAGTTGCCAAAACCATTAATTTGTGGTTTTTGCCATGGATCAGCTCTATTTGCTTCCAAAAATATTTTTAATAAAGTGATATTTTACTAAACTTGTGGCGTCAATATATTATTCTCGCTCTGGTTTTCAATTGATGACATTGGGACAACACTTTCAGTTCATTTTTTATCTAAAAATGTATCCTGACGCCATACTTAAAAATCAGAGGGAGCACTGAATTTGAGAAATGCCAAAAAGGAAAGTATATATACTATTTATTATATATACTATAACATTAATTATGGTGCTATTTCATACCGAGTAAATTTGGTGAAAATGCCAAACGGAAGTAATATGCTTTATGTCCTTTTGGAATACTATTGTGCAGTTGCTACGCGTGAAATTTGGTGAAAACAACAAGGTGGTCAATTTGCTGGGCAAGTGGAAGAAATCACAATGTTTTGGGCAAGCAGTTCCAGTCATTGGCTTAGCCTACGACATGACCACACCACCAACGTTAGTATGCACCCATATTCACTTTTTACTAAAAGAAAGCATTGTGGGTGATGAGCTCGTAAAATAGTCGGAACCAGTAGACTATCTATCCATTGATACTTTTGAATTGAAAGTTTTACTGACATGTAAAATGAAATTAATATTTCCTCCTGGAATTGAAGCAGCTTGGCTGACGTAGGAAGACACCCATTCCACACACTGGTTTGTGCGCTGTGGCAGCTTCTGGGGTGTGGCCTTGTGTCATTGTCCTTTTTCAGTGTTTGTTCACATTCAGAGTTGTACGTTGGCAGGTTGCTTGGGGTAAGTGAGTTGAATCTAAAATTATCAGGAGACTGGAGAGCAGTAATCTTACTTTCTTGTCTTCCTACAGGGGCGACGGAATGCAACAACTGCCCAGCCGGACTCTGTTCCTCTGCTGCTATGGAGGTGCTATGTCGGTAAGGCAGCGTTTCTTGTGGGACTCTGCATTGGTGCACTTAGGCTTCTGGCAGGCCTTGCCGGCGTGGTCGGCTCCGGCACCGGGATCATGATCGCCGTCACTGTCTTGTACTCCTGCTTCGAAGAGACCAGCCTTGGAGGAAGGCCGGCTGGTGCCTTCGGTTTCTGAAAGTTTCAGTCTGGAGTTGGTTGGAGTTAATGTTGTTAGTGTTATAAGTTATACTAAAACGTTATTGGCGCTCCTTCTCATCATCATCACAGATAGACAAGGATATAAGGTGTACATTCATAAATTCAAAATAATATAGATCAATAGTTATACCATATGATGTCATACTCTGATGCCAAACTAACCACGCGGAGCCAATCTTATCTTAGGTACTGATGTCATACTCTGATGTCAAACTGAATTTCCTTTCTGTTATGCTCGCCAATCCATATGATGTAGTCTGCTTTGGATAATTTCAGCCTGGCATTGTCATCCAATGCCTGCCCTACGGTGATTGGATTTGGAAGAAATGTCAAGATGTTTAGCGCCTGTTTGGTTCCAATAAGTCACCTGACACATTTTTCCACACCAATCAACATCATGCAGGTGGTGGGACCCATGCAAAAGGGGGTGACTTATAAGTTTTAAGTTGGGGTGAAGCAACTTATGACTTATAAGTTGGGGTGATTTATAAGTCGGGTCTGTTTGGCAAAATAAGTCACTTTTTTCACTTTTCGACTTATAAGTTGGTGACTTATTTGGAACCAAACAGACCCTTAGCTCTCCCGCAAACTATGCTTCTTGTGATGTTAGGCTATTTCAATTTCAGTTCTTTCTTGTTGGAGCACTTAAACTTGCACTAGTCCCAGATGGGCGCCTGGTTGCCTGTTTGTTTGGCCATGCCTTTGCATCTGAAGATTTAATTTGACTGGTTCGGCCATGTTATGCATCTGCAACTTTGGTGGTTTGGACATGGTAGTGTCAAAAACACTCTTATATTAGAGCATCTCTAGCCGCACCCCCAACAAGGCCCCCCAGGCGATTTTTCGGCCGCCGACGCCAAAAAATCGGTCCAGTCGCGCCCCAAGGGCCCAGTTTTCGCCGGCTCGGGCCAAAATTGGCGCCGGCGGACCCAACCCGAACCCGGCGCGCTCGGGGGCGCCGGGCGAATCGTTTTTGGCGTGAAAGAGCGGCGGGCCCTCCTTGCCAGCGACTCGCCTCTCTTCTCGACGCTTCGTCGTCCTCATCGCCTCGTTTCCCGCGGCGAATCAATGCCAAAGCTGCGCGCGCTGCCGCGCCGGTCAGCCTCCATTGATGCCTCACGGGCGGCACAGTGAAGGCCGGGCGACGCGCGTCCCCTCGCCCGCCACGCATAACACGGTGGCCACGCGTACGCCTCCGCCTATATAAGCCGACCCCAGCGTGCCGGAGACACGCACCTCCATCACCGACGCGCCATTTCTCTCCCTTCCTCCCTCTCCTCCTCTCGTCGTCTCCAGTTCAAAAGAATGGCCGAGTGCTTCCCAGGCGAAGGCGCGGCGGCGAACGGATTCGGCCGCCGCCATCTTCATGAGGACGAGGCTCGCCTCCTTTTCGAGGTCGAGTACCCGGTCCCGCCGGACATGCGGGTGCCTGGGTCGTGGAGGATCAGCGCCGGCGGCGTGCCGGTGCCACCACCACCCACCGGGCGGCGCGGCGTGCAGAGATAGCACGTATCCGCGCGTCCCTGCCGCGGGCGGCGAGGGAAGGCCCGCGGTACACACCCGACAGCCCGCTCTGGGAGCCCTACTTCCGCCGCCGCCACGCCGAACAACTCGAGGCGACGAACGACGTCGTGCCCTCCGGCAGGCTCAACTCCGAGGGGCGGCGCCGGTGGTGGGGCGTGCCCGACCGCACGCTGGAGGCCGTCCTCGAGTACATCGAGGGCGGCAACACGCCACGCCTCGAGTACCCCGCCCCCCGTCCTTCTCTCGCCGACGTGGGAGCTCGTGGACGCCGAGGCGCATGGAGCGGCCCGGGGCGTCCTCCTCCTCGTCCGGCCGCTCGTCCGACTCTCCCTGCCTCCGCCCCGTCAAGCCGGAACCCCAGGACACGCCTGTCAGCGGGCGCACCCCCTCCCTCTGGCCGCTTCGTCCTTGTCAAGCCCAAGCCGGAGCCCGGCCTCCCCGCGGAGTACGAGGAGATAGCCCAGCGCGGCTTCTCCGATGAGGACGCCCTACAGTGGGCGCGGGACGACTACCTCCGCGACGAGATGGTCCGGCAGCGCCGGGCCCTGGAGGAGATAGAAGCCCGCAAACATGGGCGCGAGGACGAGCACGGCGTCGTGATCCTCGACAGCGACGACGACGAGGACGCCCCCGGACCGTCCAAACCGCCGCGCCAACCGGGGGAGGGATGCAGCAGGGACGGCGGCGGCGACGACAACAACGACGACGACGACGACGGCGGCGGCGGCGGCGGCGACGGCGGCGGCGGCGGCGGCGGCGGCGACTACACGCGGTTCTACAGCCTCCTCGGCATGTAGAACTGCAAGGGCGGACGGCGGGCGGCGAGGAGCGGCGAGGGAGACGGCAAGGAGCAGCCTAGTATTTTTTTTATAAAATATGTTTAAATTTGGACGAACTCGCTGAAGTTTGCGTTGAATTTACGCCGTGTTTGTGCCGTGTTTAAAATTTTCAAAAATACATACATGCCCCCAGCGCGCGGTTTAGCGCCGATGCGCCCCAGGAGGCGATTTTTAGCGCCTCCTGGGGGGCCAACGGCTGGAGATACTCTTATGGAATTGAGGTCTGAGGGAGTAGCTTCCAATTTTATTAAGAGGTGTACCCAACGTGACTACTACTCCAGAACTGTCCACTTAACCGTTCCATGTTGGTCGGCGTATCTGCCATATACTCCCTCCGTTCCTAAATATTTGTTTTTTTAGAGATTTCAAACGAACTACCACATACGGATGTATATAGACATATTTTAGAGTGTAGATTCACTTATTTTGCTCCGTATGTAGTCACTTGTTGAAATATCTAAAAAGACAAATATTTAGAAACGGAGGGAGTATATATGTACAGTTAGAGCCAGAGAGCAACCAAAGCTGGCTTGCAATCAAACTACGATCTTAAAAGAAGAATAGAGCAGAGGAACACATATCTGTAGCAAACCGCAATCAAAGCCATAGTCTGAGCACAAAAACGACATGGCGATGCAAAAGGAAACTTGAACTTAAACCCTAATTCAGTAGCAACACACATCAAAGGAAACTTGGATTTGATCCCCTAAATGAGTAGCAACAGACATGTTTGTCATGAACTTCTTTGAGGTAGACTCTGAAAGTGAACAATCTTTGGATGGTTCATTTGTGTTCGTTTCAGTAACTTGAACAACCAACACTGCTATAACCATGCATGCAGAACTTAATAATATGAGAACTGAAATGAAAAAAAATATTTGTAGTGTTGGTTGTTGTATAATATAAATATCATAATAGTATGTAAATTCTCATGCATGTTTGTGGGTTGAGGTGGCTTTTTATTATGCATGGTTGCATGTTATGGTGGGCCTTTCTCCATGCATTTTGAGTGATGAGGTGGCATACTTGCATGTTTAGAAAAATAACTTAGTGAGGGCTAGCTATTTAGATATAGAAGATATGGTGTATCTGGATCAGTTTGATCATCGTCGATCATCGGATATTCGGACGACTGGCGCTCGACGATGATACGACGTGGACTGGCGGCAGGGAGACGCTCGACTATGCGTTGCCGTCCAGCGATCAGGGGCCTAAAACAGGGATTGCCTAAGGACTTGAGCAACCTGTCGTACTCGTTGATCGCTACCGGCGAGAGAAACAGGAACATCGACTCACGATCAGGGCTTGGAAATAGGAAATGGTGAACTCACAAATCACGATTGGAGGAAGCCTGTATCTGTGTGATCGAAGGAAACCTGCGTGTCCAAGGTTTGGTATGCAAATGATCATTCTTGGACTATGCTTCTATATCTTGATCTGTTCTTTTTTTGGCATGGTTTGTTGATTGCTTTTGCCACATACGTTTTTATATGCAGTGTTTTGAGAAATGAGAAATTCTCTCCACAAAGGAGTTTGTGTATCTTATCTAGAAGATAGACAATCGCTACTATCCTGAGATAATTTTGTGTCGCACTGGATGTTCATTTTAGTATTTTAACATGGTGAAGCAATGATTCTAAACATGAAAAGTCCATTCATGTAGGCTCTACTTTCTTGTTTTATTGGGATTCTAATCTATTTTGAAATTAATTTGCTTCCTCCAATCAACGTAGGTTCCCAGTTTGAATTACCAGAGTATAGACCTCCTAAAGTAATTGATGCTAAAACTCATCCTGAGTATTTAAGTTTCTGTCTTAACCCTTGCCCATATCATTTGTTGAGATATATGCTTTTGCATGTAGCTTTACTATGTACGTTCTAAAACATTTTCACAATAATTGTGATTTCCACAGTGAGTTGTCAGAGTTTCTTGGTGGTTCATACACGTGTGGTGATGAGGGAGATAGTCTTGAATTAAACAAGGGGCCATGGGATGATTCCTGCCTCTATTTGGAAGGTATTTTCTGTGAACTGTAAACATGTAAACCCAGTCTCATTCGGTACTCGAATGATCCTGTCTTACATTATATTTCTTAGTTTGTAAAAGTATGCTATTACTGCAGTTGTCACCATCGTTATTTCATACGTGGGTGGGTGACTGGATTTGGTAACTTATCGAACTATATCTGATGAATAATTTTAGCCTTACGCAATTTGCATCAGGTGTCTTCTTAATTACTCCATATCTTTCTTGGCTTTTAACTATATAGCTTTATTGGCATGGTCACACCTTAAGCATTTTATGTACATAATCCCCAAATTATTTCTCCAAGAAACTTCCATTACCCTTGGATGTTCAGTTTATTTCGGCAAGGCCAAAGTCAAAATGATAGTGGTAGTCCATCGCCACATAGGAGCAATTCATCTCTAAGCATGGCATCCGTACAAGTTTTATACTCTAATAGTCTAATATGCGTTTCCTTGGTTGTATTTTGCTAGCATGTCATGTAATTGCTCACCAAACATAATACCAGGTAATTTGAAATAACTAAGAAGTTGCATGGTATCGTAATAAAATAAGAATAGTTGATGTAAAAGGAAATTTCGCCCTCAG